GTAACCACCCTGATCACTGCTCCGTAACCACCCTGATCACTGCTCCGTAACCACCCTGATCACTGCTCCGTAACCACCCTGATCACTGCTCCGTAACCACCTTGATCACTGCTCCGTAACCACCCTGATCACTGCTCCGTAACCACCCTGATCACTGCTCCATAGCCACCCTGATCACTGCTCCGTAACCACCCTGATCACTGCTCCGTAACCACCCTGATCACTGCTCCGTAACCACCCTGATCACTGCTCCGTAACCATCATGACAGTTCATTGACGTATGTTATTAACGGCCTCCGCTGCGGCTTTGACATTGGCTTTACCGGCAACTGCATAACCAACCAGCACTCGTCCAACCTCTCATCAGCATTTCATCACTCTGCATTTGTATCTGTACAGCTCACCGCTTCCTGCAAACGCCGGCTACACGGCTGGCCCATTTGATCCACCCCCATTCCCATTTATGTACTGCTCTGGCATTGGCGCTGTTCCCAAAAAGAATGGCAAGCTACGCTTGATATACCACGTGTCCAGCCCTTCAGGCTCCAGCGTTAACGACGGGATCCCTGCCGAGCCTTTTTCTTTGCAGTACATCAGCATTGATGAAGCCATTAACATCATTATGTCCTCCCCGTCTCCTGTCTACCTCTCTAAACTCGATGTGAAGAGTGCTGTTCGTCAAATACCTGTCCGCCCCCATGATTGGCATCTCCTCGGCATCCTGTGGCAGGGGAAGTACTACTACGACCGTGTCTTGCCATTTGGGCTCCGCTCTAGCCCGGCGGTATTTGATGCCGTGGTAGCCACCATCGAATGGATAATGCACCACGAAATCTCCATTCCCAATTTGCTGCATTTACTGGACGACTACTTGTGCGTGAGCGTGGGCCGGGCAGTGGCGAATCGGCAGCTGGCTATTCTTCTCCGTGCATTCTCAAACTTCGGCCTGCAAAGGTGGAAGGCTCGTCTAGTACCCTGACATTCCTGGGCATTATCCTGGATTGTGAGAAGATGGAAGCCCGGCTCCCCGACGACAAATTGGCTGACATCAAGCGCCTGTTGACTGCAGCGAGCATCAACCCCACCATGTCCCAGCGCGAACTCGAATCTCTTCTGAGGAAACTCTCCTTCGCTGCAAGAGTCATCGTACCCGGCCGGACATTTATGCGGCGCCTGTGGTCTATTTGCAGTCACTACCAGCAGCCTTACTACCGCATCAGTCTGACTACCGAGTGCCAGGAAGATATCCAATGGTGGCTACGGCTACCAGAACAATGGAATGGAAAATCATTCTTCCTGTTCCCAGATTGGACACCATCTCCAGACTTGGAGCGGTTCACTGATGCCTGCGGCACCCTGGGCTGGGGCGCATTCAACAGCGGCCGCTGGCTTCAAGGGACCTGGTCACCTGAGCAACTCGCTCACAGCATTGAGTGGAAGGAGCTCTACGCATTGGTCACAGCGTGCTGCACGTGGGGCAAGGAATGGTGCCAGCTTTGTATCACAATGCACTGTGACAACAAGGCTGTGGTAGATTGCATCCGCTCTGGCACATCCAAGTCCCTGCTAGTGATGACCCTGATCAGGGAGCTGTTCTGTGTGTGCGCCCGCTTCAATTTCACCGTCACTGCTGCTCACATTGCTGACCAGTCTAACTGCATTGCGGATTCGCTGTCTCGTTTCCGCATGGAGGAATTCCGGCGTCTCGCCCCAGCTGCTGAAGCACAACCAGACCGAGCAGTGCTGCCGTTCCAGTCGATGTAATATAGCCTTGACATACAGGTACCGCTTGTCATTGCTAAATTGCCGTAGTGAGAACCTGCGTTGGATTTCATCCATCTGCATCTGCATTCATCCAGCTTCCTTCAACTGGTTGCTTTGCTGCTGCTATCTCCGCTTAAAATTGCATACTATTGGTCGGCTGTTTGCGACGTCAATCAGTAGTCATTGCACCCCGTTGCGGGTACTATTGCCGCTCAAGCATGAGCGATTTCTTTGGCCGTTTGCAATGCCAATTGCTTCACCCTGGTTGGCTGTTTGCAACGTCGATCAGGAAACTTTGCACCCGGTCGCGGGTACTGCTGCGGCTCAGTCATGACCGATCACTTTGGTTGCTTGCAACGCCAATCGCTTCACCAGTTGATCGAAACCAGCACACTGGTGTACCCCAATCATCCTTGTGCAGTGTTGTGAGAATACGTGGGTATGCATGCAGCTTTGCTCTGTGACTTTCCATTGCATGCCATCACTTGGCTCTCCCATTTCCTAGACACTGCTCTGATGCATTCGGGTGCAAGCGCTAACGGTTGTTCTGCAGAAATCGGTGAAATCCGACCAAAGTTGATAGTTGGCGCCCTCAACTTGCATACCTTTGCGGTCTTAGAAAGGGTACGAATGCACCTCGGCTTGCACATGCACAAATACTTCCTCCACTAAGCAAAACTTCGTTGCGATTTTAGTGTTCTTGTCATGATATTTCTGTCGGCATTAGACATACATGTCAGTGATCTAGCCCCTACATAGGGTAGCTGAGTTGTCGTCCATTGTTCTGACACTCTTTTGAACCTTCGAAAAGTGTGGAGTCCTTTGAAAAAACTGGCGACGCAGAACCGTTTCTCGACAGGATGTCACCAGAACACAACCGCAGGCGCGCGCGCATGACACCAAAGTGCGAACATGAGAAACAGTTTGAAAGGCTGCGTGGCTCGAATAAGTGTCCAGTACCCGGCCAGCACTCAAGCACTGTTGTACTAGCACGAGCCGATGGTGCGCATCCGCACACAACCAAAATCAATGCACTTGTGTTTGCAGCGCAGGGGAAATCAAAAGCGTTCGACATTCAGGTTGTCATTCAGTCGGCGCAAAATCCTTATCTCAACGTCGACGACTCTGCGTTCTTCCACAGCCTGTAGACAGACATGTCACTCGTGGCGAAGAAAACCAGACAGGAGCTTCGGCAGGGCGTGGAAACGTGCGGGCACGACTACACTGCTGCGAAGATGGGGAGCGTTTTTTTGGGTCTGTATGGCTCCTTCCATGGCGTTCCGGAGATTGGCCACAACTACCAGCGCCACCGTGGAGGTCGTCAAGCTCACAGTTCGAGCGAAGAACTTAGCGATCTCCATGGTCAAAATAATCCTGTCTTGAAAAACTTATAAAGGCTGCGGAACAAAAGCTGGCAGCGCTGGCGGCGACAGTCAGCGAGGATGCAGACTCTATGTCATCAGGGAGTGATTCGTCATCAGATTCAGACGAAGAGTGAAGCTGGACTGCTTTGAAACGAGCTGTGTGACATCTGTAAATAAATATCTTTCATAATATGCTGCCTTGTTTTCCACTTTGAAAAGCATGTTCGTAGCCATATAATGATTTGGACTGAACTGTAAAAACGCAACATAGTTTTGCTTGACGGAGGAAGTAGTGGAACTGGTGCAGGGAGATGGTGTTGCACTAAGGTTAGATTTCATAGAGCACAACCGTGCCTTGCTGTTACGCTATATCTATATTGTGTGTGTAGGGATAGTATGGATATAAGAATAGCTATATTGTGTGTGTAGGGATAGTATGGATATAAGAATAGCTATATTGTGTGTGTAGGGATAGTATGGATATAAGAATAGCTATATTGTGTGTAGGGATAGTATGGATATAAGAATAGCTATATTGTGTGTGTAGAGATAGTATGGATATAAGAATAGCTATATTGTGTGTGTAGGGATAGTATGTTAGGTACCTCTTCCCGTACCTTTTCTAGCTGGCCTGCATGCACTCGCATACTCACCTTTTGTCTCCTTTTGTTCCGTTGGCCTGGGTAGCTACTTGCGCGCCCATAATTGCCATAGCTACCCAGGCCCTTTATCTTGGCGTTCAGACTTGATCTCTCTCTCTCTCTTTTCTCACTCTTCAATAATCACCATGTAGTCGTTTCGTTCGTCTTGGTCTCTTGTCCCGTCTCTAATAAATGTCGTTCCACCAACCTACCTGTTCCTGTTGTTATGTCTGGATAATGTGTCGTCAGTCGTCCTTTCTCATGTTCAACATTGGCGCCCGATTATTGACCCACGACCCTGAGATCATCCCATGCCCAGCCGTCCTCAACCGCCATTCGTCTCGTCTCGTCCATGTCAGTCTCGTCTCTCCTACGCCAACCTCATCTCGTCTCTTTCAACCTCCTCTCCTTTGCCAACCTCGTCTCGTCTCGTTCAAGCCATGCAGGTCAGCTACCTTTCTCTCTTTCTTTTTTTTGTATGCGTTCCTTCTTCGTCAAATTTATTTTCGTGAATTTTTTGTAGTGTGTGTGCGCGCGTGTGTTCATAAAACAGTACCAAGTTAGGGGTCCGATCATGGTGAGCCACGCTCTAATTTTTGGATGTTTAGCAAAAGTGTAACTAGGCTGTATTTGCCGTGCAAATACTAGTAATTCACGTTCCTCGTCAAACTCCAATAGTTATTACACACTATAAGTAGTACAGGAATGATCTGTAGTGCATATTTAGTACACACTTTTGTGAGATCCGTTCGCGCGTGCAATATGTGTGTGTGTGTGTGTGTTTTTCTCCTTCAGTCATTTTTTTAATCTTTTTCTCTCTTTTCTCTCCGCGAGGACGCGGGATTTTTTTCATGGAGGGGTGGTATGTTAGGTACCTCCTCCCCTACCTTTTCTAGCTGGCCTGCATGCACTCGCGTACTCACCTTTTGTCTACTTTTGTTCCGTTGGCCTGGGTAGCTACTTGCGCGCCCATAATTGCCATAGCTACCCAGGCCCTTAATCTTGCCGTTTAGACTTGATCTCTCTTTTCTCACTCTTCAATAATCACCATGTAGTCGTTTCGTTCGTCTTGGTCTCTTGTCCCGTCTCTAATAAATGTCGTTCCACCAACCTACCTGTTCCCGTTGTGATGTCTGGATAATGTGTCCTCAGTCGTCCTTTCTCGTATTCAACAGATATAAGAAAGGACTTGCTTGGGTTTTTTCTTTTTCTTTTTTGGACAATTTTGCAGTTCAAACTGCCATGCGCAGTGACCTGGACGGAAAAATCAGACTTACTGCTGTATCAGCTGCCGTGGAAGGCCAGATCAGGGTGAGTTTTTGTCACACTAGTATTGTACCGTGTTTGCCAGAGTGTAGTTCAAACTTTAGATACGCTATTTCAGGCCGTAAGTTGCTGGTGCACACTGCGCTCCAAATATGGGAATATGTGCACTTTCAAAGTAGTCTAATGACTATGGATCTCCCTGTAGTCAAGTAGTTTACCACATCTGAGTCAATGACTCTACACAAAACATATTCATACATTTCTGGTGTCTTCCGCCAGCTACACTGCAAATTCAAGATGTGCATGAAACACCATATGTTACACTTGCATTTACAGATGTAATTTTTATGAAAATGTTGGCTCTGATCACACTATAGTACTGTCTTTGTAATCAAAAATATTCGCAAATCACGACTGCGTAATATACTCTGGATATACCTTGAGTTGCCTTAAAGTTTGGCAAAATTAGGTCTGTGTATTATGCTCAGGTGTGCTTTATACTCTGGCAATTAGGGAAGTTATTTTGTGTTAGAATGCATACTGGCATGTTTGCATTTGTCACGCACCGCTACTTAACCCTTTTCGTACCAGGAGCGCATATATGCGCTCTGAAACATAACGTGCTTGACCATGAGCGCATATATGCACAAAAAATCGCGCATTCTCCCTTTATGGACTGCAAAATTTGTACAGGAAAGAAGCGACATGCGAAACTCAGTAATAACTCGAAATCGGTGTGCATTAGCCAATACACCACCATACCTTTTTGGAAAGTAGATAGGATAAGCTGTCCAACATCATCCTCGCCACCGCTCTCGCTACTAGCAGTATCAGCAAATCCATCAGATAAATTGTTTTCTTGAATTTCTTGGATATCATCACTATCACTGTCCATTTCGAACTCGTCGTCATCAGACTCATCAAGTAGGTCGCCAGAACTGTCAAAACTTCAAACATTAGAGTTCCAGTTCAGAATCATGCCGATGGCATCGTCGGTATCGTCGTGCCGAATAGTACTCGTACTGCAATGTTAGTTCTGCATGCTCGCGGAAGCTCTCAATTTCGTTCTTGCGCGGCCGATTTCGTCAACATTTTGACTAGGGACCCCCCGGCGAATTTAGCACCATTGGAAAGATATGGATTTCGTCTTTCGATTTGTGTAAAAAAATATCGCCGAAAACGTGCGGTGCGCTCAGAAAAATTCGCGTTTCGAGTTTCGATCTTCTTCTTCTTCTTATTATTAGATCAAAACTCGTACAGTCCGTCCACAAAGGGTTATATCGCAGTGCATATATCAGTGTACAAACTATGGTAAATCCGTGACACATAAAGACAATCAATACACCAAAGGAAAGGTCTTGAGGTTATCTTTCCGAAGATACAAATTTCGTCGCTATAGGATAATGACTCATTGAGCGGCGACATGATGAACACCGAGATTACGGCCCGGAGCAAACGCGATTTTTTTGGTTTATCACTTCGCAGTTATTTGGAGCAGGCTAGGGGATTTCCCTTTGGCACGACGCATGAGTGATGGACATCAAATATAGTGCTTGGATCTCAGCTTTCCAGCGGAGTTCGAATCGTGAAAATCGGTTGAATTTGGGCAAGATGCTGAACAAGAACGTGAAACACAGGCACGATGGAGTAGTTTGGAGAGGAGATGGAAGTGGCCCTGGTGTGTCTATGTCGCTGAGATCTACCATGATGGATTCGCTTGGTCCTGATCTTTTCAACGAGCCCAGGATGATGAAAATCCATCAAGGTGGAGTGAAATGAGAATAAATTTCGTTCAGAGCTGTGTGCGCAAACTACACAAAGAGAGTCAGTGCGCTGGACAGCCGGCTGATTGGAGAAAAGGGGCCCCAGCATGGCAAGGGTTAAGTGCTATGTGGTATTCCACTTGCATTGCCAATGCAGAGCTTTGCGCATGCCTAGCCTGACGTCACATGTCACATGGATCTTCCATGGTAACGCCAACCAACATGGTGTCGTTCGTGCATGTGCATGACTGCTTGCTTGCTTTCACTTTCTTTTTTGATGTTGGCTACACTGCAAAGTCATATTATTGGCAACTCTTAGCTTGTGCTAGAATCAGATTTTCATTCTCTCATCTCCACGCTTCAAAATCAGACTTCATTGATGGCTGTTGGTGCCTGAAACAATGCCGCCGTCTACTGTGGACTTGCTTTTATTAGCATCTGATTTTCTGAAATAATTAACTTTTTACTTCAAAACCAGACTTCAGCGACACCTGTGCATGTTGGCTCAGAGATTGCTGTATGACATGGAGCACACAGCATTCAGATGACTCTGCCGCTCTCACCATGGGCATGTGCGAATTGCTAGTCGGCCCCTCGCCCACTTTGGGTCCATCTGGGATTCGAGAAGTAATTCAGGATGAAGTTCATTCTGCCATCACGGACAAGGTTGGAACCTCTGTCTTGCCGCAACCATGGACAGTACTAGCGTCACCAGCTGTGTTAGCCGACAATGGCGTGAGTGCTGCATACTCCACACCCTGCTGGCTGGGTGATCAAGATAGGTGCTTGGGAATATGACTGCGGGTTCATATCCTGCTGGAACTTCTCTGACCTACTGTTGCCTTAGACCTTGGAGGCAGTTGATAACCATAAGTCTTTTTTCCTCAAATTTAGTTCGTCTGGTGATGCAATATCAGTTGAAGCGGTGGTGGGCACCATTCGCCCGGCTCGTGGACGTCTGCATGCTATCACAACTTGGTCGGCAGCAGGTTATCTCCATATGAATGTTGTGATTAGTAATGCACTTCCATCACACTGCAGGAAGGCTGTTATCCCAGTGCCTGGATTTTGCAGGTCACCAGGCAGTATTTCACAGAGGCTTTGTAAAATCAGCACTTTTGAAGGCTTCTCGCTTCCCAGCCAGGCAAGCAATTTGATACCATTGACATAAATACTTGGCCACTCTTTATCCCAGGCGAAGCTAGGCCTGAATGTATGTCATGAAACCTTGTTCACCTGGTGTCTGCACACAACATGTGTCCTTTCTTTCATCTCTAAATAGCACACCAAGCCCAAACAGTATCATCTTCGCTGCTCACCCGCAACAATGCAGGCGCCGTCATCTACCTCAACCTCAATCTCGGCAATTGCATATGGTCAATCTGCCAGCTGATCTACATTTGCAACCGCTGTGACAAGGATCATCCACGTAACAAGTATTCCCGCAAAAGTTCAGCCGCCAGCCCAGTAGTTTAACGGGATCACGATCCCAACATGAACTGCAAATACCTGTTGCAAGCGTTCATAATCTTCCTTTCCCATACTCTGCTCAGTACATCTTAACGTGTCAAAATCAGATACTACTAGTATGCCCCCACCTCAGCCAGTGTATCTTGTGAAGCAAGGGATCAAAAGTGTGTTCCGGCATATCCCAATTCATGTGCTGAAGACCACCCGCTATTTGTCATATTCTGGCAAGGCAGTTAATAGTACGAACGTGCTCTAGCATTTAGACTTTGCTTGAGCCCTGCAAATCTCTTTGATTCAGTTTCCTCAGATATAGAGTGGATTGTCAGTAACCATTTCTCTAATGCCAAGCTTTGCAACTCCTATGACGATTTTCTAAACATTTAAACTGGCCAAACTGTTGCATAGCGTTAATTAGTAATCCTGCTGCTGTCTTTCCTCTATCTATTCGTGTCACTAGCGCCAGCAAAGGTGGAAGGTTCTGTGAGATCATTGACTTAACTCGGTATCATCCTGGACTGTGTGCGGCCCTAGGCTAGGATCTTCATGTTGGTGTTGGCCAGCACAATCAGCAGCCAGAAGATATCCAACACCAACTCGAATCCCTATTGGACAAGCTCTTGTTTGTTGCCCATGTCATCAAACCTAATTGAACTTTTATCACTGGACCTTCAACTACACCCAGATGTACTTCCTCCGCGTCATCGAAATTGTCGCAGTTTGGCTAGCGAATTGAAACTTGATATTACTCACGACAGAAGCTACAGAATCAGTAATTTTTTACACAGGGTGATAGTCTGAAGTCTACAGTTACGTTCTAAGACAATGTTCCGTCGGATGGTGCGCATCACGCCGAGCTGGAGGTTTCGTCCTCGCTGATATCAGTCGACGAAACAATTTCGTTCTGTACAGAGTCCAAGGTGGCTGCAAGTTGGTCGCGTGTGGTCTCGCATGCTTTGAATTTCTCGAAAGGAAAGGACCTGTCATGCTTGTCACCTGCTCTGGATGACTTAGCATGAGCAGTACGGCTGCCTGTGTAATGGGAATAATTATTCCCACCATCGTCAGAAAGGATACCCTTGAAGGAAGCCCACAAAAGACGCCAAACTGAATCCATGCGCTCCGCTGGATACTCTTCCCATGCGCTCTTCACAGCTTCGATGAGGTCCTTCACGTTCTTCTTCACCACCAACTCGTTCTCCGTCTGGAGGCTGGCGAAGAAGGCGAGATCGTTACAATTGAGGTCGGGTGATTGCGCAGGCTGCGTAACAACTTCGATTTTGAATCCACCTTTCTTCCCGTGACGAGCCCAATGACCTTCGTTGACTTTCGCCGCGTGCGGGCGCGCTCCATCATGCTGGTAGTACAGTGTATCACCAGCCTCAGGCTTGCCCGATCCGCGCTTGTACCACCACATCTTACTTCGCATCGCATCCAGCACGCCGTCTTTTTTTAGCATCACTTTGCGATACTCCTCCGCATTCACGCTGACACTCTCGAGAATGTCAGTTTCACCAGCCACTGTGCCTGTACGTGCATCGCTGCGCTTCGCCTTGCGCTCCAGGGTGAAGGCCAGATTCTGATCTTGCCATCGAATCCATACTCTGGTCCCGGGCGAGCTATCGCAGCTAGAAACATGACTTTAGGCATACGTGATTTATGGTACACAGAGCCATCTGCGGGCATTTGTACGGTACGCTCCACTTCGCCAGTCGATTCGTTCACAGTGAACTGACGAAATACTCTGCACACAGCTCCGTCCTTCAATAGATAAAACCATTTTTCGTCCCCATGGACGATGTCTAAACAGTCCAC